GTAAAAATTTATTTTAAAGTTTAAAAATATTTATACTTTATTTACATAAGAACTAATACTTACACTATTAGTTGAACTACTACTACTTCCACCAGATGCTCGAAGTCGTTCTGAAATGTAATTATTATATTTTAGATATTTACAAATTGACGAAAATATTAGGTGAAATCAAAAGTCCTAAAGTTAGTAACGCTTACGATTAGATGAAACGATGTTTGATGTAGCCATTGCTACTTGCTTATAGTTTGGAGGTAAAGCCATTTTGTATACTAAGATGAAAAATGTTTAATTTTTTTCGAGATATAATCAACGAACTTAATAACACACAAGTATTGTTAACTTTTATATCGTTTGCAACTGGAACAGAATATAGTATATTGTAAGTTTCAAGGTATTCTCTGAATCGTATTAATGTGTGCACAACCGTTAGAGAGAATGCTTCTGATTTTACAATGAAAGGTATTACCTTTCTCATTCTAGTTTCAAACTAGAATCGTAAATTTGTAATCATTGTGTTTCTGATTCATTTTCCGATTAAATGAACGATAAAATTCTTAAATACACAGCACTTTCAATAATTCTTAGAATTCACTTCGGCGTTGTCACTGTACCATATTATTACGTACGTTACTGCCAACTTCTTTAAATCGGTGAATACATGTTACTATAATTTAATGTACTGAACGAAAGCAAAATATCTCTAGTTGTTTTCATACTGTATTGGTAAAAATACATGTTTGATACTTTGTGCTTATTTCATAATTAAATTGTAATAATACATATAACAGGTAAACTATTTACAAACAGATACGTATAATAAAATTACTTGATTATTTATATACACTTATATACGTGTTTTTAACAATTACATTTTATTAGTTTTAATTTAACAATTATAGATCGTTTATATGTGCATTTATACATACAACAGTTTGTTTTTCTTTGTTACTTACAGAAAATTACCAGTAACTAAAATAATGATTAATTTTAAAGATTATAGATTTTTTCTTTTTTTTATATTAATGCTATATTAAATGTTTAATTTTTATTTATTCTGTACGTGTAATGTGTAAAGACACAAAAAATATATGAAGTTTTAAAAATTATTTTTACATCATGGAAACAATACACTTGCTTAAACCTTAACAGATACTTATATTTATATGGCAGTAAAAAAAATTAGTAGTTAATCATCCTTTTCCAAAAATAAGTTAGGATAGAATCTTAAAGCTTCTATTGTATCATCTCTGCATGCTTTTCCTCTTTTTTCGGTAACTAATAGCCTTTCACGCGCTAGGAGGACTGATATACCTTCCGACTGAGCAAGTTCTTCTGCTGTTAGAGATCCCTTTTCTTTTATCTGAGGAAAAAAGAAAGATAAATTAAGCTCCACATAAAAATTGTTTGAATGTGTTACTTACCAGATCAGCTATGACATCAACTATGGTATTATCATCATGTGATCGAATTTGAAGAACCATAACTCCACTATCAAACACTCTTAATACTATAGGTAAACCTAAAAGGGCTAATTGTCTACTGGCATTTAATAAATCTTCCGGTGATAGAAGTTCTAAGCCTCTAGCTCTATTTACACGACAATAAACATCTGTTAATGTCATCATTCCTCCAACTTCCTGCAAAATAGAATTTACTAAGTATTGTAATGTGTTATAAGTGTAATAATGACTATAAGGTATATTAACTTTGATTGGTTCTTCTAAAATATTTGCCAGCTGTTTTGCCAATTGCTTGAAATATTCATTACTGTTCTTGTATGCATCTCTGGTAACTGGGTCATCAATACCAAGACTCATTAAGTAAGATTTAAATCTGACTGTTTCATCCTCTGTGATATCTCCTTGTCTCTCCTGCAATGGTCTTTGATTATGAATGTCAATTTTACAAAGTAATTTTGTTGACAGTCACCCGTATTTTTGCTGAGATGGTTTTTGAAATGGAAACCATGTCTTTGGCCATTTCCATAAGCTTCTTCAGATCTTGAAAGGCCATTGATATGCTTTCATCTGTTGCTTTTTGTTTTTCTTGAAGACTTCTTTCAATACCTATGATACCAGTTCGTGTTTTTATTTGTGGTAGGGGTTTATTTATACCTCCACTACTTTTTGTACTGGCATCAGGATGACTTAAAGACATGATTGGTGCTATTTCCCAAATTCTTCTCATGATAGTATCAGATAAAGTTGTAAGAAAATTTGAATCTAAGCCCTCTTTAAATGATAATTTAATATAATTAAATATGCTATTATCCAATGGACCAGGCATTTTATCTATAGGAACAGAATATTTTAATAAAGTTATATAATTTTCATGTGTGATTTATAAATATATGTTTCCACATAATTAGAATATACCAATTGGAGCTTCGGAAACATGTAGAATAATTTTTTTACTACGTCCAAAGGAAAATGGACCAGGAACTTCTTCTTCAAAGAAAACTATATGACGAAGAAATAATGAAAGACATGTTTGTCCACGCGATATATCTCCAGGTCTTCCCCAAAGAAATCTGTGGCTGGTAAGAACTAATTCACCATGTTCAAAACTTGTCTGTCAAAAAGTTAGAGGTTATGATTTACTCTATACAAATGGTATAATTAATTACATATACCTCGTCATCACCATCGTATAAGCGTACACCAATATCGCGTCTGATGTAAATTTCATTTGGAAAAAGCCGAGAATCAACGTATTCAAATCTATTCATTATTTTTGGAGGTTAAGATAAAAATTAAATATTCTTTTAAAAATACGCACAAAATATGCAATTCACTAGTCTTGAATGAGTTTACCGTCAATTCTGACGTACCCTATCCGCAAGATGTCCTTCGATTTCTGTACAATCTACCACCACTTTAATGCTATCTATACAATATGCTTTGTCTCCATTTGAATTATGTTTTTCAATAGCGCCATATAATTAAATAAAATAGTAATTTGTGACATAATTAGTTAAGTTATTGTAATTGTTTTACCGGTCTTTGTACTTATTACTAAATATTGCAATTTTCCGAAATGGTAATTCCTTTTCTTACATAAGAATATCAATTAATTTTTTTCACTAATTAGCATTAGTGTTATGATAATGTAAGGTTATAAATGTATCAAATAATAATATAATAAAATTAAAAGACTTAAAAATTATATCTTAAATAGTTTCACAGGGATTTAAGGTCATAATTACGAAATAGATGGCATTGGTTGTTACTTTAAATATATTTGTTTCGAATTTATTCAGTAAACGAATCGTGTAAATAGAACCGCAACCATGATTAACAATGATCATGTATAGTTAATAGTACGTGATTCTCCGTGTATTTATTACACGCTTGTATAGTGATTAACGTTCTCATTTATAATATATTTCTTTTCACAGTTTTTAATGTAAGGTTGTTTTCCTTTCGTTTATAATTAGTATAGTATAATGTAATGTGTAACGATACACGTTATATCTTTCTCAAGCACAAGCTCGAACGTACCTTACCTTAAGGGATATGTTACTATTGCTAAAATCAATATTTTTTAAATCCAGACAAATTTCCATATATAGGTCTTTCATTCAATGAAACCTATACTTTCAAATAGACACGTAACATCGAGATCATAAAACTGAAGAGTAAAGGTACACACACGGTCGAATCGAACTATTTAATGATATACAGATAATTTGCTTTTACAGTCCTTTTAGAAATAAGTAATTACAGACTAAATCAATTAAAACTACTATCAGAAATAAGTCTTCAAGTTTCTTTTTTTTCCCGTAAATGTATGAATTATGGAAACTTTACAAACTTATTATAGAAACCAATTTTTTAACATATGAAAAAAACAAAAAAAATAGAAAGTCAATTTCCATAATACGTGTACATAATAAGGTGAATTGAAATTCCCGAGTAACATTATCGTAACTGTTTTCGTTCCTTTAACAACGATAAAATTATATTTTAAACCTAAAAGAATAATTTCACATTTCCGTTTGTTAGACCATTTTGCGTTCCTTTTTCTTTAATCGATATTTCACGTAGTTATTTTAAACGATTCAGTCTGCACTTGCAATATATAAACGCTTTAACAATTCCCTTAAGTTCATTTAAGCGGAATAGTGTTTCAGCAACTTTGTCTGAGTAAGTAAGTACTTTTGCAATCGTTTAAACTTCCACGGTTTTGATTCTCATTGAAACTGACGCGACGGTACGCACGAGCATAATCCGAAATGTAATTAGGAAGGGCTTGGCAAGGATTGTTCTTCAAAAAGTTTCATCTTAATCAATAAGATACAAAGATTAATGCATATACAGGGTGAGGTGAATGTGCCCTTATTATATCACAGAGAGGCGTAACAAAAATATAAAACAATTTAAACTTTATAGTATTTTTTTCCTTTTTTTTTTGTATGAATCATACACTCATGCAACGGCTACGCGCTGCGATTCGTCCCACAATCTTGATCACGATTATAAATTATAATAAGGCATCAGAATTTTTCACCCAATCGAGAGAGTAATTTACGTAAGAAAAGCAAACCGACGAAGGAGGAAAGCGAGAAAGTACATGTAAAGAACAAGTTAGAAAATAAACATTTCTATATATATAGAAAATGTTTTTCTGTACAAAGTGATATTATTACTCCGTATATACAATAATTGAATAAACTTGAAACCGAAATATTTCAGTTACATAGTCAGAAGTTATATAAATATGTAACGATGACTTTAAGCAACAAGTGGAGAAGGCATGTTATGTATTGTATCGATGAGTATGAGAAATATAGCGTTGAATGAAACGGAAAAGGGAGATGTTTTCGTATGCGTGTCAGTGTGTTCCATTGTCTTCGATAGTTATCAACTTTATCGTTTGCAGTACGAATCGCATTGGCATTATTATTGTCATCATCACGCTTTTTTCCTTTTTTTCCTGTTTCTTTATCTGCTTTCTCACTTCCTTTCGCGCTATTCCTTCCTCGCATTCTGTGCGTTCTCTCATTTATTCTCTCTTTCCCCTTCCTTACTTCACCACTCTCTCCCTCTTTCTCTTTCTTTTTCGTTTATCATCTCATTCGCTTATTCACTCGTCTCTTCACATTCTCGCTTTCTTTCTCGCTCGTTCCATTCACTCG